GGGCGGCCGCGGGGACCGCGCCGACTTACCGCTGAGCCGCCCCGGGCCGCGGACCCCCGCTGGCCCGGCCTCCCCCCGGCCGGGCGCTCGTCCCCTCGGCCTCCCACGTGCTGCGGCGGCGGGCTGGGAGCGGGCCACCTGTGCCCGCCGGGGTGCCCGGGCCCCGAGTTAGGAGACTTCCCCGGAGGAGTGGAGCCGGGGGCGGCGCCCCCTACCTGGCTGCCGAGCCCGCAGCGGACTCCAGGCCCCACCGCAGCCCAGTAGGTGTGGCTGCTGCACCCAGCGTCGCCTCCCCGTGGCCTCAGTTGTACTTGTGGGGGGGTTTTGTTTTGTGTTGTTCGAACGTGCGTTGACACCATTCCCGTAAATAGAACAGATCTGGTCCCTGGCATGGGTGGAGAAGTCTCGGGGTGCAAGATGACAAAGGGAAGAAAATGGGTGGCTTTGGAATAACACCTGCCCTGGACCGTTGGGCAGGAAAAGGCCTGGACTTCTTAAAACTGTCACGCAAGCCCTCTGAATACCGCACACCCCACTTGGTGCTATTATCAATCAGCAAATGTTTGTTGCCACATGTAGTGAGGGAAGCCCTAGACTAGGCAATGTATATAAAAAGAAGTCTCTTGGAGCAGTGGTAAGAGGATTTAAAAAGACGGTTTTCTTCAAGGAAAATGTAACCAATGGTAGAAAGCATGAGAAAGTGCCAAATACATTGCTGTATGGGTTCCCAAAAGGGAGAGAAACTTGAAGTGATGCAGGAAGACATTTTCCCTTCTAGAGAAAAAAGAGATTTATTTTTGAAGGCACCAAAGCAAATCTTTTAACGCCCTTGCACTGCCAGGAAACCTTGACTTCACTGCCTTGAAACTATGACTTGCCTTTTTTGCCCCTTGATCCAGCTCCTAGGAAAAGACGAAAATGTCTGGCCTGTTTCTTCAATCGTGTGCTTTGGGTGTCATAGTTAATCTTCACATCTCTGTGAGCCAGAGTGACTTGAGTTTTTCAATTGAAGCTGAAGATCAGAATGTTTTAATGATTTGTCTCAAGTCATTCAGAATCAGGGTGGGGAAAAAAGAATAAGAATGGAATGGACCCAGATTAAGGCCTACCAGGTCCATCCTCTGTAAGTGACAACACTAGGGGACATCGCAGGTTCGAAGTAAGGATCCACTGGGTTCGCGTGGTAGTAGTCTAATTTTATCTTTTCATTGTTGCCCAGAAAGTGAACCAACTAGTTAAGAGACGTAGTGAACCGGTGTTTGTCTTGGAGTGAGTGGTTTGTACTCATCTCCAGATCCTGATCGTTTAACTACCATATAGCAGAAATTAGTTTCTAACAACCGAGGAGATGAAGATCAACACAACCTTAGTACCACTCTTCATTTCCTAAAACACACACACACACACACACACAAATAACTTTTACACAGCTTCAATTTTTTCTCCTTAAAACTGTCTATTTGCTGGAATCGGTGTGTATTAACCACTTTGCTCTCAAGTGAAGACACTTCTGTCAGTTCTTTTTTTTTTTTTTTTT